AAATTATAATTGTCTATTATAATTAAAATGTTAAAGGGCCATGAAACCCACTCGTTTCAGCAGGGTGTTTTCACACCTCTTCTTTGGAAAAAGTCAGAAAAGTGGGGGTGTCCAGCTCTGTTTAGGGGGGAGTGTCAGAGGAACTAAAGTGGGAGGGTGTGGGAGTGTCTATTTGGGCACGCGCGAGTTTCAGTCAAAATACACAGGAGAAAGGGATGGTGTTTAACCTACATGGACATCTGTAGTCGAATTATTTGCCAAATTATTAAATGTTGGACTTTAACTGCAGTTCGGCTCTTTCATTCAGGGAATTCATTCATGCCCCTCGCGACAAATGAAATATTTGATTCGAAGAGCTGCTCTAAGCGTGTATTTTTCATGCAATGTTTGATACCGCACGGCGAATGACAGAAAAAAACTCTGCATTTCCCGGAAACTTAGATGCACACGGCAGGTAGCGTCAGAAAGCCGCGTGTGTTATTCCGGTCACAAAATGCGGTGCTAACATGTTTGCACTCAATGCAATAATTAACTTATTTGATACGAACAAACTGAATATGCAAAGAGCACTGGTCGCTCACTTACCAAATCTGTAGAGACAGGACAATCACCAGCAACTAGAGCCGCGTCTTTATGAAGAGAAGATTACATCCGGAATCCGGATTTCAGCGTTTGCAGATGAGAACAGCTCTCAGTTAAACAATAATCCCCCTTAGACACGTAAATTATTGTTGTCGAGCGTCGCGTACACTGTAATCCACACGTGATCCAGATGAGCTCTCACAGAGAGAAAATAAAAACGAAACTTAATGGCAGCAAACTGTAAAAGCAACACTTCACGCTTGTTTTGCCAACACAACGTGGCGTCTCTGTGGTGTAAAGACGGTGACACTAATGAATATTAATGAAGTTGCACAATAGAGCGCGCTGATTGGTTTGAACCAAGCCTTACTCATGCATTAATGCATCACACTGTAAGACGTAATAAGGCACACTCTGGCACAGACGCCCAGTCTGCACGCTGGAATACAGGCTATTATGTCATGACCGTGACGCAGCTTCAAAAATTCGTTTCAAACAGGAAGTACGAATTTGCTTGAAATAACGCAAAAACAACCAATTTACACTTTTTAGTGAAATATAGGTGTCCTAATAGTGTTTTTAGCAGTGTGGGACACATATACGACTGTCAACAGCTCAAAAAATGTGTTTTGGTGTTTCGTGACCCTTTAACTATTGGTTATTTGCTATGAAACTCTATTCAATTCAATTCATGTCTATTTCTATAGCGGTTTTACAATGTACATTGTTTCAAAGTAGCTTAACATAGAAGTTCGAGTAAATTGAAACTGTGTCAGTTCAGTTGTCAGAGTTGAAGTTCAGTTTAGTGTGGTTGATTTTTCACCTCTGAAAGTCCACTGAAGAGCAAATGCATCAATGCATTTTTGTGATGCAATGCTGCGACATTAAAACTGATTTTATTTTTCAGCTCAGTCTGCCTAATTGCCTTGAAAAAATAAAAATAAAATAATAAATAATCTAGACATCTAAATCACAAAAGGTGCTCTACAAAAAAAAAAAAGAAAAAAAAAGAAAATCAACCAATCATCTATCAGTCACAGAAAACCCACCAAATATACAATGCTTCATGGAAAGTAGTTCTCCTTATTTAAGCCATTAAGTGTCTTGTTTCTTGCACTTTTTAATGCAATTGCAATTAAACCATTATGCATATTGCATGTAACATTAAGTGATGTAAAATAGAATATTTAGATTAATTCAGTTTTTATTTAACTGGCAGCATTTTTACTTAGCCAGTATGCTTTTCGATGTATAAATCTGAAGGGGAATAGAATAGAATAGAATAGAATAGAATAGAATAGAATAGAATAGAATAGAATAGAATAGAATAGAATAATTGATTGACTTCATAATTTGAAATAATATGAGTAACAAACATCATCAAGTCTTTACTTTAAAACATGTATTTTTAAAGCTTAATGTGTAATTTTATTAACCTTTCTAACTATTTTCTAATAGATTCTCTAAGAAATACTATTAAAATGAGTTTCAAATACATTGATTGATTTACAAATACTTCCTTTTTCTCACATAAAAGTTTGTAATTTTGTGATTTACCTTTTATCTGATTGATTTGGTTCAGGTTTTTTTAAGGTTAACAAAGACTTCTCAAAATTCAAGTGGACTGGGAAAAAATAGGTAGAGTCTCAGCACCACTGAAAAAGTGGTCAGTCAACAGTGTTGTGCTTACTAAAAAATAGTAACTAGTTACAGTTACTAGTTACTTCATTCAAAAAGTAACTCAATTACTTTATCGATTACTTACATCAAAAAGTAATGCATTACTGTTAAAAGTAATTTTTGAGTTACTTTTCCAAAGACATTTTTAATTCTCCTTTTAATTCCCTTATAACGTCACTTCAGTGCTGCATGGAAAATACACTGTTGATCAATTTCACAGTTTTTATTAAATTGCATTCTCACAACTAAAACACGAGACAAACTAAAACAAAAAGTAATTTTTATTTAAGTCAGACCAGCAGTACAAAGGTAATAATATTATATACAGAAAAAAAACATACATTTTATGCATTCTAAACAAATCAAAATAGCTGCTAAATAAATGGAATTGATGAGCAATTTTCAAACTAATCACAAAATAAATGTGATATCTCATCAACTGAGATATGAAAAGTAAGCTTTGTATATTCAAAGTGCAAAATCTGCAGTTTTTTTTAAACAATGTAATACTATACATTTAAATAACATGTTCTGAAATACAACAGAAATGTGTCACTGTGTCTATTAAACTAATCAATTTTGTTATACAGATAACAAATGTGTGCTTATTTATTTGAATTAACAAAGTATTAGTTATAGTAATTAATAATAGTCACGTTAATAGTTTGTCGGTCTCTCACACACATTTGGTTTCTCTCACTCACACACTCAGCCTACTTCGAGCGCACCTGGTTTCTCTGCTTTTGCTTTACTTTTGCCTGGTGCCTTGTACACAACAAGTCTTCTTTACAGTGGTTGGTTGGCATCCACCAATCCCACAGTGTCACCGCTGTAAACAGGAAGATGTGGGCTAGACTGCAGCCAAAATTAATTAACTTACCAAGTGACAGATAAACATGACGGTACCGGTGTTAATATAATTAAAAAGTAATGTGTTACAGTAGTTACTGTCAAAAGTAATGCCGTTACTGTAACGTATTACTACACGTTATTGCTCAACACTGGTCACTAATGCATATATATTTTAGTCATGAGGAGTGACTTTTCTTTTCACTGTGCAAAACATGAAAAGTAGTTTTATTGCTTGATGATTTATTTTTTGTTGTAGGTCACTATAGGACCCAACCTGTACAAATTGGTATTAAATTAATGCTGAAATGTCTCCTGGTGCGACTGTATGGACAGTTGTAGAACTCACAGCCTTTCATACCATGACTGATGGTGAAACGGCACATAGTCTATTGTGAAAGATGCTTGTAAAATATGGAAGGGTTCCAACTCATTTCAAAGAGCCAATGTTTGGAGGCTTTAAAAGCTGTGTGTTTGCTGCCAGGCGCTCTCTTGTCTTCTAAGGTTTCATCAGCCTGGAAAATAAAGACATCCCCTCTAGGCTTTTCATTAAAATCTATTTACTTAAAATGGCAAAAGAGAAAGGCAGGGGGAAAGAAAGAAAATCTGATGAGCGGAGGGAATTGCCTCTAAGCTTAGCAAACATTACACTGGCTTGTGCATAAAAGAGGCGACCTGAAGAGAAATGGTGACAGTTTCAGCGTGGAAGGAAGCCGGGGGCTCTGGGGTCAAGCTGACCTAATTGAAAGCATGAAATTGTGAATTGCTGAGCAGATAAAGCACGTGTTAAACTCACAGAAATAAAGATACAAACGCTGACACTGGGGCAGTGCCCTTTCAAAAGGTCACTTTTGTACATTTTAAGTACTGCTGTACAATTTAGCTACTAATAGGTACCAATATTGAAATGGTAATGCCCTAGTGACATTTCTGAGAGAATAGTTTTATAGAAGGACTTTTTGTGCATTAGTCCAAAATCTAAAATTTAGTTTCTTTGAAATCTATTTATTAGTATTTTTTTCCTGCATTCTCACATTTTAAACATATTATATCATATTAAAAGAAATTATAATAAATAAAATGTTTAGTTTAATTTAGTTTTTATAAAATTGACACAGGATATTTTACCCAGTATGCTTTTAGATGTTTACATCTGTAGAAACATGTCAATATAATACAGTAACTTATAGACTTCTTAATTTCAAACAATATCAGTCACAACTATTATCTAGCTTTATAATTATTTACAATCATTTTTAAGTTAATTTTAATTAAATGTTTTTATTTTTTATACTTTAACTTCTTCACTCATATTTCCTTACAAATTCTCTAAGAAATAAATAAACATAAAAAATCTGGAAAACATATTATTGAAAATAGATAAATAAATGCATATACATAACTTTTATAATAGATAAATAAAATTTGTTTTGTTTGTCATTTCTGATGACTTTTATGGCATTCCCTAGTAAAATGTATGCATTGTGTAAAAGTTACATTTTAATGATCAAATATTGCGAATATCGTAAAAAAATACCTATAATAATAATAATAGTATAAACTAATTGTATTTTGTTTTTATTTTTGTTTGTATCAAATTGGCACTATTTTTTACTATGTATACTTCTATCTATTCCTAAACCTGAAGGGAAACTTGTAAAAATAGGAAAATGTAAATATAATAATTGTGATTAATGTCATGATTTGAAAGTGAGTTAATACATTAATATTGTAAAATTAATTTGTATTCAGTTCTCTCATTCATTCCACTACTAATTTTCTCTGAACTTTACCCGGAGAATGTTGATTTACATTTTTTAACATTGCTATCATTTATCTGTCATTGTCTCCTGCATACAAGCATTATGTTATATGTATTTGTTTTTCAGGAGAGAAGGTGAGGGCGTGCGGGTGTTTTGGGACAAACTCAGAGAACCTTCCTTTTCTTCCCGCTGGAATCCTTTTTCTGTTGACTATCCGTTCACTACATTCACCTATCATCCTGCCAAGAGTGCCAATGAGCAGCTCGGCCGCTTGTGCGAGGTCAGTATCAGAATACACTCCAACTACTTATTTAAAATGACTTCAAACAACACAATTCTTAATTTTGGGGGGGGAACAACTTCTCTGTTTTATGTTCAGTCCACTTAAATTTGTAAAAACAATTAAGTTAACTTAAACAAATTGTGTTGGGCCAACATGAAGGAATAAACACAATCGTACAGCAATTCGTAACTTTTTGATTTAGTGGTTAATTCGTATGAATTCGTATGATCTAATTCATAAAATTCAGTATGATTATCCCCCAATAACGCTGGGTTTAGGAGTGGGGTTGGGTGCCATGCCTTCTTTTTTAAATTGTACATTTATGTATGACTGAACTTGTATGAATTCCTAATGAATTAGCCACTAAACTGACAAAACGTAAAATAGTTATGTTTCCTCGTGAGATCAGGTTAGTAGGAATTGTATGGATCCAGGCATTTTTTTACAATGTTTAATATACAGAACCCTAGTTCCACACAACCGATTTGTGTTGGGTCAACATAAAAAAATTAAGATAACTTATTAGTTTTTACAAATTTCAGTGAATTGACAATTAACAATTAAGTTGTCCTCAATAAAAAAAACTTTAGCTTGTTTCAGCTCGTTTTAAATATGTTTGAGCAAACAACAAGTGTTTTTCTGAGTGAATATACCCATTCTTCAATCAAATTATAAGACCACAAATCCTAATCATATAGTGAGCTACCTTAACCAATCTCAATTGCTCTTACTCACAGCAAGTTTTACAAAGGTTGCCAGAAGGCTTGTAGAGGTGGAGTAAGAATCCGCCATTTCTTAGAAATCGACTTTGGAAGAAATGACGTGTTCAGTTTACATGCATGGGGTAATATTTATTTCACTACACGATGAAGGATTCAAAGAATGACAACTCGAGGCTGAGGTTACTTAAGGCAGCGTTTCTCAAACTGCAGGTCATTCTAAAGCTACAGCTTATTTGCGATTAAATCTAAAAAAAAAAAAAACATGAAACAAAAAGTAACTGACTATAACTGCCTAGTTTCACCCGCATGCTTTTATAAAAGGGATTAGTGATGCGGTGGCTCTTTAAAGCAATAGTTCACCCAAAAGTGAACATTTCTGTCAGCATTTACTCTCCACCGTTGACTTGCTTCAAACCTGTTTCAGTTTCTTTCTTCTGTTGAGCACAAAGACGTTATTTTGAGGAATGTAGAAAATGAAAACTGGTGGATTTAAAACACTGACTTTTTTTATTAGCATTTTTCCTAATATGTATGTCAGTGGCTAACGGTTTTCAACGTTCTTTAAAAGATCTTAATTTGTTAAAAAAAAAATGGTTTGAAACTAAAGTTCATAGTTTCCTTATTTGTAGATTTCGATCAACTTGAGTGAGCCAAATAAAAGTTTATAGTTGATCTGTGTACATACATGCCACAATTAATTTTTACTGCCAATAAAACATGCGTAAATCAGGTTTTAAGAAGCCAAGCACTGAAAGTTGTTTATTTTGATGTCTGTATGACAGTAATTATAGCTTATTTGCAGACACACATGGAATCTGTGCATAAAGAAATCTGCAGATTTCTGCAGAATTTTTGTGCCCACCTTTGAATCTTATTAATTACTCATGCAAATTGTTTGTAAAAAAATAGATTCATTCAGTTTTTATATTAATTTCAGTCATATTATTGAATAATAAGCAAATGTTCATATAATTTATTTATAATACAATTCGTAAAGTAATATTTTCTGTCTTTTAGTAGATATACCAAATATTCATTCATTCATTCATTTTCATTTTATTACATTTACATTTAGTCATTTAGCAGACGCTTTTATCCAAAGCGACTTACAAATGAGGACAAGGAAGCAATTTACACAACCAAGAGCAACAATGAATAAGTACTAAAGGCAAGTTTCAGGTCTGTAAAGTCTAAGAAGGGAAGTATTAGTAGTATTAGTATTTTTTTTTTTGTACAGTTACTGTGATATTCAGAGAGGCAATTGCAGATTAGGAAGTGTAGTGGAGACTAAATAGTTGAGTTTTTAGTCGTTTCTTGAAAGTAGCGAGTGACTCTGCTGTTCTGATGCAGTTAGGGAGTTCATTCCACCAACTGGGCAGATTGAGCGTGAGCGTTCGCGACAGTGATTTCTTCCCCCTTTGGGATGGAACCACGAGGCGACGTTCATTCACAGAACGCAAGTTTCTGGAGGGCACATAGATCTGCAGAAGCGAAAGCAGATAAGAAGGAGCAAGGCCAGAAGTCACTTTGTAGGCAAACATCAGAGCTTTGAATTTGATGCGAGCAGCAACTGGCAGCCAGTGCAAACGGACTAGCAGCGGAGTGACATGTGCTCGTTTAGGTTCATTGAAGACCACTCGTGCTGCTGCATTCTGGAGCAGTTGAAGAGGCTTGATAGAGTTAGCTGGAAGCCCAGCTAGTAGAGAGTTACAGTAATCCAGTTTGGAGAGAACAAGAGCTTGAACAAGGAGTTGAGCTGCATGTTCAGATAAGAAGGGTCGGATCTTTCTGATGTTATAGAGTGTGAATCTGCACGATCGAGCAGTTCTAGAGATGTGGTCAGAGAAGTTTAGTTGGTCATCAATCGTTACTCCAAGGCTTTTCAAGGCTTTTTTTTTTTTTTTTTTTTTTTTTATTAATCCGGGGTCACCACAACGGAATGAACCGCCAACTTATCCAGCAAGTTTTTTACACAGCGGATGCCCTTCCAGCCGCAACCCAACTCTGGGAAAGATATACCAAATAGGTAGATCTAATTAAATTTGCATTCTAAACCTTACATAAAAGTTTGTCTTTTAATTAAATGTAACTAAAACTAGTAATAAAACTAATAACTAAAGTTTTAGTTACTGTACTCCCAAAATCTTTCCACAACATACAGTTGAAGTCAAAATTATTAGCCCCCTTAATTATTAGCCCTTTTGTTTGTTTTTTCCCCCAATTTCTGTTTAACAGAGAGATTTTTTCAACACATTTCTAAATATAATAGTTTTAGTAACTAATTTCTAATAACTGATTTATTTTATCTTTGCCATGATGACAGTAAATAATATTTTACTAGATATTTTTCAAGACGCTAGTAATTAGCTTAAAGTGACATTTAAAGTGTTTGAGAGTTTCCAAGCCCTGGGGTTCCATAAGTTGATAAGATTATGGCAAGAAGGGCATCTACCGGTAAAAGAAATGCCGGATTAATTGGCAGTTGATAAAGATGCCTTATATAGCATGTACTAAGTGAGTGAATGAGTTAATGCAATTAGCTGTACATTAGAGCAGAGATTCTCAACCGGTGGGCCGGTTGGGCCGGTGGGCCTGCAGGATCCTGCAGGTGGGCCGCAAGATTAAAATGAACTCTCAATGTTATTCTAGAATTTTTGGATCTTATAATAATTTCCTTTATTAAAATGATCAAAGTAATGCACTTTCCCCTGTTCTTGGGTTAATTACTCCAAATTCGGCGCAAAAACAGCCTCATGATCGTATCTAAATGCATGTCTGTTCATTCACAAACTATGCATCAAGTGAACATGAAAGTCTATCTTTGTGTATTTTTGTGTGAACTATTTAATATATTCGCATAGTTGTCCAAATTAATGACCTGTAAGTATTTTATAAAGGCTGCGCGCCCATACAGGACAATCTAGTGAGGCTCAGTGGTGTTTCTGCCATAGATTGTAAAATAAACTTGCATAGTTTCAGACGCTCTCTGACGGCACAGTTCATTGTTTCTGTCAGCGATCTCCCAATAATATGCAAACTCAACTGCCATCTGATCAATGCATTTTTACAGATTTAAGGTGTTTTACTGTATAATTTTCAATTGTAGATATTTAATAGTAGATACTTAGTCAGTCCAGTTTAAAGCAGAAGCTGGTATTTTGCATTTCCATGACCAGTGGTTCTCTGGATACTGGATAAGTTGGCGGTTCATTCCGCTGTGGCGACCCCTGATTGATAAAGGAACTAAAGCAAAAAGAAAATAAATGACTGAAAGATGTATGATTTAAAAAAACCTGAGCTTTAAAATGTAGAACATTTTCAGTGTGGCACAATCTGCTGCCCTTTAAGTATGCATATAGTTAAAGGTGTGATTGAGCCTTGCACAGGTGACTTCGAAGATCGCATAACCAGTCATTTTTAGAAAAGAGGGGTGTCTAATCCCACAGCCACATTCCCATTCCTTACATTCCACCCCGCCTACAGAGGTGAACAGCAGTTTCAAAAAAAAAAAAAACATGAAGAATGGCAGATAAAAAAAGAGAAAACATAAACAAGAATGTTTTGACAAGAAGAAACCGCCAACGTGATAAACAATAGTTGAGCCAAATAATAATTTAAAAGGTGTTTTTGCCATGTTTCAGTACTGAATAGGACTCTTCACAGTTTAAATGGTTAACATTAGATTAACATATACCCTGGATAGACAGAAATATGGGTTTCTTTCTTCACATATTACTGTATTTAAAATTTATCTTGGTTTAACTGTCTAGGTATACACACTGGCTTGTTTGATACTCTACAATTCTAAAACCTGGATAAAACATTGATTGGGTGAATGCAGCACAAAGCCTGCTTATATAAAATACTTCTAGCGCAATCTCATACTATATATTGTTGACTACTATACAGTAAGTTCATGAGTTTCTGAATGAAAATAAAATTAAAAAAGGATTAAATAACTGCATCACTATTTGAAGGTACTCCTGGCTTTATATTCAATGTTTTTTTTGGCAAACAGTATTTTTTCAATATATTAATATTCAATATATTTTCAATAATTTAAATCAGAAAATGTACTTCCCCCTGAAATGATTGGGATTCTATGATAACACCAGTTTGACAGATTGTTTTTGAGCATAACTTCCTTAACCATGCCGCTACATCCTTTAGTTTTGAAGTTATTTATTCTCTGATATCTACATAGTCAAGCCCAAAATGAATAATGCCCCTGGCAAATTCTGACTTTAAGTTACTTAAAAGTTAAGTTTATTTGTTTGTTTTTTTGTTTTTGACCAGAAATGACACCAGCTTCTCTCAAAAGATAATAAGACAATGTAGTAAGACAATATTTCTCAGCTTTTATTTACATTTGAAAAAAACTTTATAAATTGCCATGAATAATTTTGGGTTTGACTAGTATGTGGCTTTAGTGCAAAAAAAACTTTAGAAAGGGATTTACAATTGCATATAGAACCCAAAAAAATTAGCCCTAGATGTAAAGGGTTGCATAACCCAGGATAAAAAGTATAGCTAAACGCAGTTATTAAGGGGCTTTCACACTACCCACACCCAGATTAATTTGATGTCAGAGTGTGGTCAAAGTGCCTCTAAGGCAAGTCATTTCACTCGGCGGCCTTCTTAGAAATGCCACTCGCACAGTATGTTGGGGCATTCTGTCTGGATAAGAAATATCAAATTCTCCAAAACTGTTTGCCAAGCTTACATTACGATAACATTACATACTTGAAACCACCAATGAAATTAAACAACAACTGTCTCATAGGTTTAGTTTCTAAATGTACGAATCAAACAATGATTTCAGGTTGCTCGAGCTAGTGTGCATGTGTACTTAAAAAGAATGAGATCACGACACCAACCTCATTTATGGCTATTCTACACATTATTATCGAGTCTGCTCCAGTAGTGAAAATGACTCTTTGTTTACAAGTTTTTGGGTGTTTGAGTTGTTGAAGTCATGTGATGTGCGTTTGACAGTATGAACTGTAACTTATGTTCGATTCATACAGATTACAAAACCAAAAAAAAACTTTAGTTTTTAAGTGCCCTAATTTCATTTAAAAGCACAGATTTCAAGCTTTATGTTGATATATTTATTATGTCTGTGAAGTATTCGCTGAGATTCCAGTGTGTTTGTTGACCACCAAACTGTCGTAAAAGCACACATCTGGTCCAAGCTTCTCCATCAGTCTATAGCAGGGGTCACCAACCCTAATCCTGGAGAGCTACCTTCCTGCAGATTTTAGTTGCAACCCTGACAACACACACCTGTTTGTAATTATAAAGTACTGCTTTAGGTACTGTTAATTGGTTCAGGTGTGTTTGATCAGGGTTGGGACTGAATTCTGCAGGAAGGTCTCTAGGAACAGGGTTGGTGACCCCTGTTCTATAGTGATTGATGATTGGCTCCTGTACTAGTTGGCAGGGCTTCAGTTGCCATATTGACCATTACACTTATTCCCATTCAAACTATACGAGTGACATGTCTTCTATAGTCTTTGGTGTGCATTTTATAGTTTTTGGTGTGGTTGTTTTATAATGTAAACAATGTTAACAGGTGAGCAACTGCAAACCAAACCCAAGTTCAACAAACATCTTATGTGAACGCAGTGATACTTAATCACCAAAGTGAGCCATATTTAAAGACATTTGAAGATGTCAAACTGTATATTTTAGTGTTTACTCACTCGCTGTTCTGACAATTTTGTTTGGTGTTCTGCAAGCAGAGAGAATTCATATCTCATTACCACTTCATCAGTCATCTCATTCTAAACCATTTCACTGCATTCATGACAAATAAATGCATGTTCAATTCTGTTTTGCTGTTTTGATTATGAATAACATTTTTCCAAAGTCCAGGGGAGGGAAGATCAGTCAAATTAGAGTTTGTATAAGTACATTTTAATTTTTTTTTTTTTTAACTGCGCTTAATTTAGGGTCATTCTAAGCACTGCTTTTGTATTCCGGTTTAATAAATAATTGTTGCTGCCTTTCGCTTGGCAAGAGAAACATTCAATTAGAAAAGAGTAGCATGATTTACAGTATATTATGTCACTAAATGTGCGTGGTGTAAACAGCTCTTCGTGAGAACTTCAGAAGTAAACAAAGGTCAAACGATGAAACTTGTGACACCACAAATATGAGAAAAATAACAAAACCTGGGGTTTAGGAAATATAAAGTGTGAAATATCTCTTAACAAATGCCCAGGATTTTTTGTTAACATTAGGTATATAAGCATTGTGATTACGGATTACATTAATGTGAGGTTTAGGGTTACCCAAGGTTAACAATTTCAAGTGTAAAAAGCTCTTTGCAAGTATGAAATGATCCTTTACCCTGGGTTTAAAACTTTGTTTAAAATGTCAGTAACCTGGAGGTAAGAGTAGTGTAACAGCAACAACAATTTCTCTCTATTTTCCTCTATTTAGATTGAAAGCTTCAGAGAGCAACTTACTTTGGCAGCGCAAAAAGCTCACAACAAGAATCCAATACCGGGGAAAGCCAACGGAGTTCTTGTGCTGAATCAACCCCTCCTGATCGAAGCATATGTGGGTCTGATGTCTGTCATTGCAAACCAAAACAAGCTGGGCTACTGCTTAGCACGAGGCAATATTGGTTTCTGATGACACTTCAACTTTTCTCATGATTGTTTACACTAATTAATCCTCTTCACCAGCTGAGCATGTATATTTAATATTTAAGATGATAAGAATATTTTAAATCAAGAAGAATGTAGGTCACATATATCTGTTCTGTTAATATCTAGCAAACCTTTCCTTTTCATCTCGTCATATATCTCTGAAATCTTTTTAAATAACATTGTCAATCTGTAATTTCCTCCGAGTTGGGTCATAATGTACAAGGTATGTTGTCTCTCCTCCTACAACTTCCTGTGTTTGGTAATATCTTGTTTTAGTGTCACTGCAGAATTAGATGTCTCCTTATGCAATCTGAAATGTGCCTTTCCTTTCATTCTGTATCTTTGGTGTGCTGATACTGTATATCCTACCTCATCGCAAGGCTTCTTACAAGCCAACTGGTGCATGAAGGTACATATGTCATATTTGTTGGATGGTTGAGGGTTTATTATTACAGCAGAACAAAGTGCTGGATTTTTTATGATCGTATAATTAGTGCATTCACTCACATCTTATCTTGATTTGTTTCTACAACAGAATCCCAAACAAACTGTAAGGCCTTTATAAAATAAACGCTTTTACAGAAACTTGGTTCATTGGTGTTGAATATAGTTTCATTAATTAAGGAATTAAGAAGTGTGCCTTACTTGTGCTTCATTTATCTTTACACTCTTTACATTTACAGTATCTGACATTACAAAAGAGGATCGGGTTGAAAGTGGCACTATGTCTTTTTAGAAATACTATTATATGTGAGCCTGGACTAAAATGTTGCATTTTATAATTTATGCAAGTGCCAAAAATACAGTGAATGAGGCCAAATCTTTTTAAATACAAACTGAAGTAAAGATCATGTTTCGTGGAGATATTTTGTAAAATTCCTGTTGTAAACATTTCAAAGCTTGTGTTTTGATTACTAATGCCCATTCCTAAGCACTTTATTTAAACAAATTTTAATGGATTTTTTTCTAGTATTTTTTACCTGTTATATTTTCAAAATGTTGAATCTCAGCCAAGTATTGTCCTATCCTAAAAACTAACAAACCATACATCAATTGAAGATTTTTATTCAGCTTTATAAGATATATAAATGTACTTTTTGTGGTCCAGGGCCACGTATATCCTATATACTGCTACATTTTGGTTTATATGCATATGTTATGTATGTAACATGGTTGATGTCCATCTTGCCATGTTCAAGGGCACTTAATTCATATTTCTTCTCTATTTCTCAAGACTCTAGGCTGGCCATTTCTTTATCTTATTTTTTTTTCTATTATTTTTTTTCTTTTTTTGGCTTCAGGTAACTCTGTTCCTCTCTTTTTCAGCTGTTGTCCTGAATAACATTTCCTGGCTGTTTTGACAATAAATGTAGGGAAGGAACCATATTTTACTGAGCGCTTCTGATAAAGATTTGCTCTACCGGGTTGTTGTTGTATAAGACCCCAAACCACTTCAGCTCCTTTCTTGCACTCATTTAAATACTCTGTGTTCAGTATTTTCCCATTTTGATAATCAATGTAATGTTTCCTATCAGCCCGAAAGACATGAAACTTGCTTTCACCACAAAGTGAAGTTTCACAAGCTTATTTCGAGAGAAGCACATGATATGATTGACCGCAGCTGGTCCCTATCGGTAATCGTTAGCTAGCCAATCTGATTATTCCAAATTTAACATAAACATCCAGTCTAACTTTACCTTTACTCATTATCTTTGTTTTTAAAGGACCCCCCCCCCCATCACTTCTTCATCCTCCTCAATTCTAGGATCAAGCGCTATGGCAGCTCAGTGGCTAGCACTGCTGCCTTACAGCAAGAAGGTCGCTGGTTCAAGTCTTTGCTGAGTTTACATGTTATCCCCGTGTTTGTGTTTGGTTTCCCCCCGGATACTCCGGTTTCCTCCCACAGTCTGAAGACGTGATACAAGTGAATTAAATAATAGTAACAGTCACAAGCAGTTTATACTGAGCTTCTCTAAGTAAGCACTGGTGTGCTTGATAGTCTATTCCTACAGAGACATATTTATTAATCAAGGAATAGGCCAAATTAATTGACAGAGCTCTCGAGATTTACCTGATCTTGTATCCCTCTAAATGCTCATTGACCAGGTGGGAGAGGGTTCTCTCCCAGGACAGCATGCCAAACATGCTAACATCATGTGAACTCTTGAAAGTGAACTTTGAAAAAGTGTTTTGTCGTGTTACTGAGCAAAGTCTGTGGTTTTAATTCCTTCTGCTAATGAAGGTTTGTACAATGCAAGGCCTTCAGTCCAAATTTTCTTAAACGTTGAGTCATTGTATGCAGAAACACATACTTACCCTGTCCAGTGCTGAACTGGTGACTAATTCCAATTGCAATTTTGAACTGATGGCCCAATGAGATTCCCTGCATTATTTTGTTCACTAGTGCATTTGTCTTTCAGGGTCAACCAGCCTTTTTGGAAGACATGAATGAGTTTGGGACACTGAGAAGTTTTTATCATTGTAAATTAGTTTTTTATCATTATTGGAAAAATTAGAAATCGTTGGAATGACCAATTTCTCTTGCTATGACTGAAAGAGTCCCTTTTGCCTTCATCTGGACAATCTGCTTTTGGAGGGTTTAGGTCACTTTAACACAGCTCGTACCAATGACAGAAAGCTGGAATCTTAAAAAGAGTTTGCCAGAACTTAAAGAAAATTACCACCAAGTACCAAATTAACACTAATGAATAAGATGTATCTAGAAGCGTTCTCTAATTTTAATAGGGTTCTTTTTATTATTTGTGTATTTACATATTTATATATACTGGGGTTTAGAACTCAAACACTCAACAGCTTTTATACTGTTGTTGGGGCAGCTTAAAATAGAAACAAGCAGTTACCTTAAAAACTTAAAAAATGATAGGTTCTCTAATTTTCATCTCCACTGTACATACAAAAAAAAACCATTAGATATGTTGCACACAAAATCATGTTTGTTTGATTTCGCAAGAGAACATTTGGAAACAACATGCAAAAAAATAAAAAAATTATTAAACAATTTGTGAAAACAGTAAATGAGTATGATGATAAATGTAAACAATTTTATTTCTAGATATGCATTTCAATACTATTACATGATTATGTCTGTTGTGTACTACCTTTCAGCAGGGGGATCATTATGACCAGCGAAGAGAATGCAGACTTAAAGAATGCACACCATAACTCTGCTCTGGCAAACGTTATGTGTTAATCTCTTGTTTATCTGATTGCATTTCTGCAGGCTGCACAATGGCACACTGTGAGCTGCTACCAGATCTCGAACCAGAAGCTTGGTGAATAACGTGTGCATTCTTTTCATTCATCAGCCTCCTGCAAATATCTATTTACAGCAGAACAAGCTCATGGCTTGCTTCTAAATGTGCTATCCGAACAACACCCAACTTTTCTAATACAATGATGTAGAGTTCTCTCAATGAAAGTTTGTATTTTTGTCTCAAAGGGTTAATGCTTTTTCTGTGAAAATAAGGACATGTCTCACAATCTAGGATCAGGCGCTGCTGTCCCCTCAGGCCACGACTTCTCATCCATGCTATCTCCACCTCTGCTCGTAAAAGATCTACAGAGTAAACCTTGGATGATATGCCAAATAAACTAAGACCATTTAAAAAGAGACAGAATAACTCAGAGTGATGACATTGCTCTGCGTAAGTTAGCTGGATTTCACAAGAGGATAAGTGAAAGATAAATAAAAAACCTTTTTTTTTTTTTTAATGGGAGTGTCCATATTAGTGATGAACCTTGTTATTATTGTTGTCATAGTGGCAAGACATATCACCCTAACTTCACTTTAATGTGGCGAACCATCTTGGAAATGGTGAACTAAAGCCTATAGACCAGTATTTTATCATTCTGCTTTTCAACAAGTGTCATTTTCTTAGATTGACATCTGTGAATTCAGCTCCTCCTTGGCTACTTTTTTTGTTTTTTTTTATGCATGGGTTTTATAAGCACATCTATGTCATCCCTGTAATTGTGGTGTTGTGTGTTGGTGAGCAGTGTTTCCATGGAGGCTGAACAGTAATTGCTTTCTTCTCTTTTTATCTTTTGTAAAAAAAAAAAAAAACACCCAAAGGTGCACATGTGCAGCTATAACCTAAGGCACGATCTCATACAGTAAGAATTGGGTAAATTAAAAGTGGTAGTGTGATTATTATCATTACTTAAAGATATTTTGTAGATTCAAAGAATGCCCAAACGTTACATGTTGTAGTCAAACCTGGAATTATTCAAACCCCTGGCAAGTTCTGACTAAAAGTAAATTTTATTTAACCAGCAAGGGTTTTTTTGTACAAAATGACACAGGCTTCTCCCAAAAAAAATATGAGGATGTACAAGAGGCATCGTTGTGATATATGAATTATTTCATGCTTGACTGTATATTCATACACCTGGATTGTTATCTTATTGCTTCAAGCTAACGTGTAAATATAATTCTTTAAACTGTAATATCTCCAAAATGAGAAGTAGTATTATTCTACAATGCATGCATGAAATAGAGTGATTATTTGCAATTCTTATAGATATATGTGGATTCCTCATCTAAAGCTGCTTCTGTGGATTCTAATTTAAACAGATATTTTAACAACTTTATCTTGACTGTTATCTTTTTTGCTCCAAGCTAAAGTGTAAATGAAAGCATTGTTGAACTTTTACGCCTTTTAAAGATATTTAACAAATAAATTACGACACATTGTGGCTGGAGGCCATCATTTTCTGGCCTTGTTTAACTAGTCCTAAGTATTTGAATAAACAGAGATGCAGTTTGGAGGTGAAAATATGGTCCTGGATGTATAAACATCCGCAGTAATCCATGCGCTTGGGTGTGGGGTTCTTTATGGGTAACGTAGCACACAGAGTTCCTCAGTTAATCATCATGAGGTTTCATAATGAGAGAGGTTCAAGCTGCATTCCTCTGTGAGAAGGTAAGATGTAGCCCATGGCTATACAGAATGTCTTTTTCTTCCCATCAAATTTTTTAAGCTGATGCACACCCTCTGACAAACTGACACCTTTTTGTTTTTTTTCTCTATGTTAAGTAAATAGGTGAAAGTTAACATGAAATACTATACATGGTTTCATTTACTGAGTAGTCTCAAATAGCATAATTAGCTTTTGTTTTTTGATGAAGGTACAGTTTATATTTTTTGATTGTTTGTTTTACTGAATATGTATCCCTATCTTATGTATCATCAGAGCAGGCCACCATTTTGTTCGGGACTATATGCAGCCCAGTTTAAGAATTTGTGTTTGCACCAGCACTTATAATTCATGTATCACAGTTCTTCTAAAATCTGCTGATTTTTTACAACAAAAAACATAAAATAAAATAATAATAATTCTGTCATTATTTACTCATTATGTTTTTGAGGTTTTTTTTTCAGCTGAACGCAAAAAATATTATGAAGAATGTTGAAAACTGATAGTCATTGACTTACATGTCTACCTATTTGTTTGTTTGTTTTTTCTATGGATGTCAATGGCTACCGGTTTCCAACATTCTTCATAATATCTTCTTTTGTGTTCAACAAAGAAACTGCAAAAGGCTTGGAAATGAGTAAATAATG